CCCTACCTTTCCTCTGAGGTTTGATGGTCTGATCAATGCTTCTCTGTCTCTGGATCTGTTTTTATTCATCAGTTTATGTTGTTCATTATACTCCACAAATGAGTGAGATCATATGATGTTTATCTTTCTCTGACTGGCTTATTTCACTTAGCATAATGCTCTCTAGTTCCATCCATACTGTTGCAAATGGTAAAAATTCCTTCTTTTTTACCACAGCATAGTCTTCCATTTGTAGATGTACCACAGTTTTTTAATCCACTCATCTGCTGATGGGCACTTAGGCTGTTTCCAAATCTTAGCTATTGTAAATTGTGCTGTTATGAACATAGGGGTGCATATATCCTTTCTGACTGGTGTTTCTAGTTTCTTGGGATATATTCCTCCAGCATCATTTCTTAATGTACTATAGTGTAATTTAAAAATCTTACAATGCCTAAGATAAAATATATATTGACACATATTTTTGAGTATTAACAAAATTGATTTGGACTGTGTATCCATCTAAATTTAGAATCAGAAACAAGAATATCTTCCATATCATGAATAAGAATTATACATGTATACCTGTACTATAAACGTTTGCTTGTGTAAACTTGGATGTGTTAGAGTTTGCCTTTTTTAAAATTTAAAATACAGAGATTTGTGTCCCATACAATATACTTTAATCCAGAGATATATGATTTTATTTTATTTAGAAGTTTCTTCTTCACCTTCCCACTATTTATTGCTTGCTATTTTATGAAATAAGAGGAAAATATCAGTGTTTCCCTGGTGATACTTTTCTGGGCCTCTATACCATTTCCTAAATTCATTTGATGCAATGTATCCTACTAGAACTTTTAGAATCAAATATCTTTATTATTGCTTTCCTTATTTTTCCTGTAGCAGTTCCAATAAAGTTTCAAATATTATTCATTCTTAATATTTTGCATTCTTTCTTTAAACAAAGGATATTTTTAAAACATATCTTCTAGGTTTACCTGTCATTTTTACCTTATTATAAAAGGCTTATAATATTTTCTTTATTTCAACTTTACTTATGATTCTTTAGCACCTAAAAAATAGCCATCTTCTTCTCTTGCTAAGGATTAAGTTTGTAAGTAAGGATGAAACCTGGTCCATGACACTCTAAAAATCAACCTAAAAAATTCTCATCATATGAGTGTTAGCAAAGTAAACACTACTGTAATTTGGTCATTGGGAAGCAAAACTTTGAGAAAAGATTGAGTCCTTGAAATGGTCTCCCTCTGCATTTCATTGAAGGCTTAAGAAAACTTGATGTGTTTCTGCTATTGACTCAGACCTGTAGTCCCCATGACCTCATTATCTGAAAAAAAAGTTTTTCAAATATCATATGCCAGGCAGGTTTTTCCCTTTTGAAAATACTAAAGAAGGGGTTTGAAATATTCCCTTGCAGAAAGGGAAAAAAAAAGTGGAATATTGTTATGAAAGAGTCCAAAGTTCCTTCACTACTTAACATTGGTAAGTTTAGAATGAGATTTTCAAGGGCTTACTCCATTGTACTCTAATCAAGATATAAGCTTGCCATTTTAGGGGGAAGACTAGATGTGCATGCATAAAATAAAATGAAACATTTCTAAAATTATTTCCAAATGATGTAAATCCTTGCTTGTTAAAATCAGTGTGAATAATGCAGGTCTGAATTCATATTTCTAAGCAAAATGAGGATACATTTTAAAAAATGATACATTTATAAATTGGCCATTCAAAGTGTGGCTTAAAAATGTATAAATCAGTAAAGCAAGCTTAAAGAATTATAGCATTATCTTTACTCTTAAATTATAACATCGAAAAATAAAATTCATCAACAAAAGATCCTATGCAGATAAATTACTTCAAAACAAACCTTAGTAGTTTCAAATTATATTTCTTACCACGTCTTATTAATTTCTGCACCCAAACTAGCTTCTTTTCCTTCAAAGTCATCCTTTTCCCTTCTGTTCTTCAGATTGGAAATGAGTAGCCTTCTTTTTATCTTGTGTTTTTTTTTTCCTTCAGCATATTTTATACTACTTTTCAAAATTGTATCTTGAGCATATGTCTCTCATTTATCCTTTTCTTCCCTAAGTGGTCTGCTATTGTTCTCCCCAGGCCTCTCACTATCCCAGGGGCAAGCTCCGAGTGTGAACTAATATCTCCTCCACCCGCCATCTATGCCAAACCTTATATTACCTCCAGTCATGTCTTCTAAAGACACTGTTTTCCATATGCTACTTCCCTCACTATGACCTTTTAATCACTGGCTGTCTGGTGCACAGTATCAATTACGCATTCTCCTTCCCTTTTCCCCACAGCCTCATGCATGCTGTGTGTCCAAAACTATGCTAAGCAGGAGAGGATAAGACACAGCCCCTGTGATTTTCGATTTTACAGTCTAGTAGAGGAGGCAGCTACTGAACACTTGTTACAAGGGCATTTGAGTTTTATAAAAGAAAACTAAGGCAAGCCACATGAACATTTAAAGGCTTCTTATTATTTTTATTTCACTTTTCATAGTGTTTCTCCCTCTATGCTTATAACCCTCATCAGCTTTCCTTTGCAATGAGGCCTGCTAATCTATTTAACATTCACAAAACACATCAAGCTATTTCATACCTGTGTGTTACTCTTCACTCTTTTACTATACCAAATTCTTAAAAACCCAGGCAAGATTGCAGCCCAGATACAACAGTTTCTTCTATGGTTCCTGTGTTTTCTCTGAATGTTTCTATTATGATACTTATCACATTATATGCAATTATAATTTGCTGTGTCTGTCTCTTCCCCTAGGTTGTTAGTGTTTTGAGAGCGGAATTATGTTTATACCATTCTGGCAACTAGCATAATGCTTGTCATTTTATTAATCACTTAATAATGGTTGTCTTGGATTTCATTTAATCGCTTTCATAGAATAGTTGTTCTCTACTCTCTTCCAAGTAGATTGGCAGGTAGTTAATTAAAAAGAATTACTGTAACTCATGCTTTTCCACCCCAGTGAACATGGCACATGCCCATTTGTATCGTATTTCTCACCCACACTAAAATTGCTTACCTTGCCAAGCTCATTTTTGCCTTCATGGCCTTGTTCATACCATTAACTTCCTGTGTTATGTTGTTTTGTGCTTCTCAAACTGGTGTGCATGTCCCTTTAATTTTGTAAATACAAAGTTCTATATAATTATTGGATAAAGTAACAAAATAAACATAATGTAACATCCAAAAGCATAAATTTCTCTCCATCACTTTAAAAATAATTTAACGTAAATAATTTTGAATGTTTTTAAAGCACTTGCAGATGTATAGTATAATACAAAATGTAAATTATTTCTGAGGTGAAACATAATGTTACTGAACTAAAGGAATCCATCCACCTGCATGTATCAAAGCCCAATCAAGCACAAACAGGAGTTTGCAGCAAAGGAAATAAAGATTTATTTAAGGAAACGGTGCCATACCTGAAGTCACAGGTGTGGTATTGTTCTCCCAGATTGTTTTTAAGGGATGGGTTATATAGGGGAAAAATCATTAATCATGGTGATTAAGGGAGTTAGGATCGTGGTCTCTGTTTATTGATTGGCATTAGGGTGGAGTAATCATTGCATTGGGTCCTGATGTCCGTCATGGTGTCACTCTGGTTTTGCAAGTTGTGGTTTTTGGGGTCATTCTGTTTTTCTTGCTCTCGAGTTAAAATACAACTGACACCTAGATTTTACTTTTACTTTGACTAAAACTTTCTCTTTGTAGTCAACAGACCCAAGGCTTTGTTCCTATGACTGTTTGATACTGACCAGAACCTAATTGTCCTGCAGACACATGCAAGGAATGGGACCATGGGTGAATCAGCTTGTGGATGAGGCCAGTTTGAATGAAAAGGACAGAAAAAAAGTCATATTAAAGAAATGAAGTTGCTGCATGGTTTCCATGAGACTGCCATAAAATTTGAAACTCACAGGGAGCTATTTGAGATAATCTTTGACATGTCTACCTGATTTAGGTACCTTGCTGGAAGATTGTAACAGCTTTGAAATTTAGTGGAATGAGTATAGACTTTGAAGGTACTCAGGTCTTTATATAAATTAATTACCTATTTCTTACTAGACCTCAAAAATTAATTTATTTCTTTGAACTTTAGTTTCTTCAACCAATAAAATGGTTGAAGAGTAATTTCAGCAGGTTACTCTGGCCATTAAATGAGATGGTGATTGTAAAGTGCCTGGTACATAGTAGGAAAGTATGACTAAGTCTCAAGAAATAATTTATAGAGAATACCAAAGTAACATATAAAGAAACAGAATATCCTGTCATCAATAGCATATTATAATTATTTCTAAATTAGAAGTTTCATAGCCAAAGGTTTTCTTTGGGCACAATATTTAAAAAAAATAGTAAAGGAGAACCATGTTCCATAAGGAAATGTGCTATGGAATAGTTCACATCTAGGTTTAAGGTTAAACTCAGTTTTATTTTAACTAAAAGAACTACCATCTGGCCAGTGTCTAAGGTCTCTTAGAAATGAATTGGAGGTTTCAGTCCAATGCTTAAGGCACACAAATGCCCATAATAGGATAAACCAGAGGCTACTTCCAGATTTAGTACTCTTGTCAAAAGCTCTAGTGGAAAGGCCAAGGTTCAAGTGACACAGAACAAAACTCTTCTCACATTAAGTACTTGTCTCTCACGCAAGGCCTCTGAGGGCATTTCATTTTCTCAGAAAAGAGTATTGCAAATCATTCTACACTTACTAGTACCACAGGAGCAAACAGGAAAGCCAAGCGATTAAACTGATACACAAACTGAATAAAATTAGATGGCTCAAGGCATATGCTGTTCTGCTTCACTATTTCAGGCAAAAATTAATAATCAGCATAGATAGTCTAATCAACCTCCTCCTTCTCAGGGGAAAAAAATCTAGCTAGAATGCCAATGTAATTTATACAATTCAGTATGTAAAAAAGGTAATTTTTTTTTCTTAAAGAATTTTCCACTTTAAGTCTTTTCATAAACAGTTAAACCAGAAACCTTGGTACTTTTAATTTATTCGTTGTTTCTTAAATTACCTCTCTTGCCTTTGCTTATGAAATTAGCATGATGCTGGACAGGCAATCATACATCCAATTGAAACTATAATCTTCCTATTGTTTTTATAGAATCTGTGAAAACCATTGTCTTTATTGCTTGATAGGAGCAATTGTAAGAAAATCACTGGAAACAGCATCTTGATATGAAATAAAATTGTTCTTTGAGTGTGTTCTTGAGCATCTATTGTATGTGGAGACTTCACTGTGTACAACGATGACATGCACATTTGATGATGCAGATAATGAAGAAAGAGATAAAATCCTAGACCCAATACTGCAGATTTAGATTCTTGATTGAACACTTTCCTGATTATGTCATGACAGCAAATTCTAGGGTGTGAAGTGTGGCTCTGGGAGTTGTTTCTAGAAGCTGAGCAGACTTCTAATTCTTTCATTTTTTGCCAGAGTTCTAAAATTCTATAAATCAATTTGACAATTCTATAATACATTATGATTTGTTATTCCCATGGGGATAGCTGGCCTAAATTTTGTTCTCTGCAACTGAATCCATCAGATATTGTTATGACTCCTTGCAACAGTATATACTAACTCTTGGTCTTATATCTATGAAACCCACAGCATATTGAGGAACACATGTTGTCAATGTCTTCATTGTTTTATAGCAATCTTTATATTTTATAACTCTTATTGATGTATTTTAATAATATGTATATTTATAGAAAATTGCCTAATATTAGACAGTTTTGAAATCCAGTAGGTAAAGAATGGTGTTAATTCTGAGTATCTGTGATGAAGTCCTACATGAGTAGTGTTGTCCTTTGTTTTCTCTCTTTATCTAAACATTCCCCATTCTATTGGTCAGTTAAATAAGGTATCTATTGGGATTATTGGTCAATTCTAATTTATTTTTATTTTCTTTTTTATTTATTTTTATCAAGTATCAATTATTTTAACCACATTCTTTTTTTCTAAAATTAATTTAATTATTTTATCACTATTTATACCCTCTATGCTCTCTTCCACCTCCACCCATAATCATCATACTGTTGTCCATGTATATGAGTTCTCTCTCTTTTTTTCTTCTTTTTTGCTTCATCCCTCTATGACTACCCCCTCCATCCCCACCAGAGATGTCTGTCTGCTCTCTATCTAAGTCTGTGTCTATTTTGCTTGGTAGTTCAATTTGTTCATTAAATTCCGTATGTGTGTGAAATCATGTGGTCCTTATTTTCCTCAGACTGGCTTATTTCACTTAGCATAATAATCTCTAGCTCCATCCATCCTGTCCCAAAGGGTAAAATTTTCTTTTTTTTTTTTTTTTACAGCAGAGTAGTATTCCATTGTGTATATGTACTACACCTTTTTTATACACTTATCTACTAATGGATACTTGGATTGCTTCCAAATCCTGGCTATTGTAAATAACTACAATGAACATAGGGGTACATATATTCTTTTGAATTAGTATTTCAGGTTTATTCAGATAAATTCCCAGAAGTTGAATCACTGGGTCATAGGAAGTTCCATTTTTAATTTTTTGAGGAAACTCCATATTGCTTTCCACAGTGGCTGCACCAGTCTGCATTTCTACCAATTGTAAAAAAGAGTTCTCTTTTCTCCACATCCTCACCATCAGTTGTTTTTTGTTGATTTATTGATGATAGCCATTCTGACAGGTGTGAGATGATACCTCAGTGTGGTTTTGATTTGCATTTCTCTGAGGATTAGTAACTCAAGCATCTTTTCATATGTCTCTTGGCCATTTGTGTGTCCTCTTTGGGCCAGTGTCTATTCAGGTCTTTTGCCCAATTTTTAAAAAGTTTTATCTGTTGAAATTATTACAGATGTCCTATTTTTAAAAGAAGGATCTCTTACTCTTCGAGACAGCATGGATGGACCTGGAGAGTATTATGCTAAGCGAAATAAGCTAGTCAGAGAAAGACAAGTATCACATGATCTCACTTATATATGGAATCTAATGAACTAAATAAACTGACAGACAAAACAGACCAGAGACATGGAATCATATAACAGACTGAGGAATGTCAGAGGGAAGGGACAGGGGGTAAGGGGTGGGGGGCAGGAAGAAATCAATCAAATAACTTTTGCCCATTTTTTAATTGGATTGTTTGTTTTATTGATTTTTGGATATTAACCTCTTTTCAGATGTATCATTGGCAAGTATGTTTTCCCATTCAGTCGGTTGTCTTTTCATTTTGTTGATGGTTTATTTTGCTGTGCAAAAACTTTTGTTTAATGTAGTCCCATTTGTTTATTTTGTTTTGTTTACCTTGCCAAGGAGATATACCAGGAAAAGACATTGCTATGAGAAATGTCCAATATATTGCTACTTGTGTATTCTTCTAGTATTTTTATAGATTCAAGTCCAAGATTTCAATCTTTAATCTATTTTGAATTTATTCTTGTGTGTGGTGTAACAAGGTGGTCCAGTTTCATTTTTTGCACATATCTGTCCAACTTTCCCAGCACCATTAATTGAATAGGCTGTCTTTAGTCCATTGTATATTTTTGCCTCCTTTTCAATATTTCAAATTTACTTATTTCTTAATGCTTTAAATTTCTTGAATGTTTTGTTTAAACTTTTTAAAATTTATTTTTCAATTATGATTGATATACAATATTATAGGTTTCAGGTGTAAATCTAGTACCCATATGATGCCATACATAGTTATTATAATGTTATTGACTGTATCCCCTGTTCTGTGCTTTATATCCCCATGACTATTTTAATAACTGGCAATTTGTACTTCTTAATCCTTTTTACATTTTTCAGCCATCCCCCCAAAACACCTACCATTTAGCAGCCACTAATTTATTCTCTATATCTGTTTTCGTTTTGTCTGTTCACTTATTTTGTTTTTTAGACTTCACATATAAGTGAAATCATATAGCATTAGTCTTTCTGTCTGGCTTATTTTACTTAGAATAATACCCTCTAGGTCCATCCATGTTGCACAAATGGCAATATTTCATTCATTTTAATGACTAACATTCTACAATATATATGCAGCACACCTTTATCCATATGTCTATTGATGAACACTTAGGTTGTTTCATATCTAGGCTATTGTAAATAATGCTGCAATAAACATAGAAGTACAGATATGTTTCCAAATTAGTTTTTTGGATTTCTTTAGTTAAATACCCAGAACTGGAATGGGTGGATCATATGGTACTTCTAATTTTAATTGTTTCAGGAACCTCCATGCGGTTTTCCACAGTGGTTGACCCAATTTACTATCCTACCAATAGAGCACAAGGGTTCCCTTTTCTTTACATCCTTGCCAGCACTTGTTATTTTTTATTTATTGATGTCTGACAGGTGTGAAGTGATATCGCATTGTAGGTTTAATTTATAATTAATCTATGATAAAGGAGGCAAGAATTTAAAATGGGATAAGAATATATCTTCAATAAATGGTGTTTGGAATACTGGACAGATACATGCAAAGAACTAAAACTATATCACTATCTCATAACATATACAAAAATTATCTCAAAATTTATTAAAAACTTAAATGTAAACCTGAAAACATATAACTTCCAGAAGAAACCATAGGCAGTAAACTCTTTGACATTGCTGTCTGCAATATTTTTGGATGTGTCTCCTCAGGCAAGGGAAACAAAAGAAAGAATAAACAAATGGGACTACATCAAACTAAAAATAAATGTAAATAGAGAAGATGCAATTGGTAAGATAGACATTTCTTAATTTTATTACTCATTTAACTCAGAAATACAAATAAATGACAAATGTTTATTCCATGCATTTTAATTGAAAGTCACTTGCTTTTCTTATCCTATATAATAAAAGCCTAATATGCTAAGTGTCCGGTCTACCAGTTGGCCGTTCAACCAATCAAAGTGTAATATGCTAATGATATGCTAAGGCTGCTCAACCACTCGCTATAACGTGCACTGACCACCAGGGGACAGATGCTCTGACCGGTAGGTTACCTTGCTGCTGGGATCCAGCTGATTGGGACTGAGCTAGATGGGCCAGACACACCCTGGAGCCCGCCCACGATCCCTCCCCGGCTGGCCAACCTCCTGCGTCCCTCCCCGGCCCCGATCATGCACTGGTGGGGTCCCTCGGCCTGGCCTGTGCCCTCTCGCAATCTGGGCCCCCTTGGGGGATGTTGGAGAGCTAGTTTCGGCCCAATCCCGCAGGCCAGGCTGAGGGACCACACTGGTACACGAATTCGTGCATTGGGCCTCTAGTATTTTTATAATTAGGAGTTTAGGAAAATACTTTAACTTTTACATGCCTAAAGTTTATCTCAAACAATATTCCTTCATATAGTTGGTATTATTGATTTTTGGAATGGAAGAAGAATCAGTATAATTTTAGTTTTTTGAAGATTTTTCAGAAATGTAAAAATAATCTTGCTGCTGTCATATTTTATCATATTAAGTTGAAATTTGTGAGAATACATATGAACTAAATATTTTCAGAAAATCTTTAGCTAAAATATCACTGTCACGTTGATGAACAGCTACATACACACAAATAGAAATGAATTCTTCAAAATAATTAGATATTTTAAAACCTCGATAATTAAGATTTGCATGTAATATAATAGTTTTAATTTTATCTATTGCTTTACAATTAATGAATTCAACATCATATTAAATTTTGTTTTAAATTGCCTGCTAGTTACTCACAAAATGAAGTGAGACAGAACACAAAGTCTGCTCTTACAATTCAACCTTATTTTTCTTGCCTGCCTGCTTCACAAAGGAGATTCAGATCTTTTTAGGAATTCTGCACCCAATTGTCTGCATTGACAAAGTGTAACTGTCAACAAGGCAATTTATAAATATGCTTTTCGGTTGTGTTTTTGACTTGAACTAAAGTAGTCATGTATTCATTATGAATTATTAAGCTGCTGCTTTACCTAATTGTGATCAACAAATTATTAGTTTGTGGAATAGATAAATTTTAATTAAGAGAGAAAAATGTAATTACTGTCTATTAAATATCATTTTTCTTTCCACTGTCATTATTTTTTTCATAAATATATTTTCTTACTAAGAAAAAATCATGGAGCTCCATGATATGATAATATAGCACTTGGGAACTGAGAAAATGTGTGCAATTTTATTTTTAAGGACAACTTTTAGACAATTATTCATTACAATAAAAACATCAGATTAGAAAAGTAACTAATTTATGGATGATTATACTAATTATCTTTTATTTGATTTACTACATCATATTGACCATACATCTAAGATGTAGCCTTCTAACTGACCCTTTACTATAATAAAAACATAATTGGTACAGTTTCTGATGATTGGACTAGTATGGAAGCTAGCAGCTTTGTCAAATGAATGAATTATATGAATTGGAGTGAGGAAGCGATGGTTTCTGGGAAGAAATAGGCAAGTGGAAGAATATACCGTGTTGATGGATTGGTAGAATCAACATAATTAAAATGGCCGTACTACAAAAGCAATCTATAGATTCAATGCAATCCCTATTAAAATGCCAATGGTATATTTCACAGACCTAGAACAAACTCTCCAAAAATTTATATTGAATCAAAAAAGACCCCAAGTAGCTGCAGTAATCTTGAGAAAGAAGAACAGAGTTGGAGGGGTCACAATACCAGATATCAAGTTATACTATAAATTCACTGTACTCAAAACAGCCTGGTACTGGCACAAGAACAGACATATAGACCAATGGAACAGAACAGAAACCCAGAAATTGACCCAAGCCATTATGCTCAATTAATATTTGACAAAGGAGGCAAGGGCATACAATGGAGTCAGGACAGTTTCTTCAAAAATGGTGTTGGGAAAATTGGACAGATACATGCAAAAAAAAATGAAATGAGACCACCAACTTACACCATATACAAAAATAAACTCAAAATGGATAAAAGGCTTAAATGTAAGTCATGAAACCATAACAATCCTAGAAGAAATCATTGGCAGCAAAATCTCAGACATCTCTCATAGCAATATGTTTACAGAAACATCTGTGAGGACAACAGAAACTAAGGAGAAAATAAACAAATTGGACTATATCAGCTTTTTCTTTAGGGACTATCTTGCTGGGTTGTGGGAAGGATTAAGGGCAGACATTGATCAGGTAGGACTTTGGAGGCCTTCAGTCTTCTTTTCTTCCATTCTTGAGTGTCCATCAAACACCTCACAAACCAGTATATTCTTTGATTAATTTCATCTATTGTGCTTGCATATAAGGATTTGTTTTATTTTTTTCCTACAACAATAAATTCAGTCCAAAATTTGAAAACTCTGAAACTAATAGCATTATTGATCCTTTATTGTTTTTGACTTTGCATACCTACAAAATGCCTCTTACCTGTTTATGGAGTTCCTTTTCTGCTGTATTTTGTCTAAACTAAGAGATTAGGTGACCTCCGTATCTGTAACATGCATTTTCTTTTTAATATATTTTTATTGATTTCAGGGATTGAGCCCACAACTTGGGCATGTGCCCTGACAGGGAGTCGAACCATGACCTCCAGGTTCATAGGTCAATGCTCAACTACTGAGTTATGCCAGCTGGGAGGAAAGATGCATTTTCAACCTTGCATCCTCAAAAGTTAGCCAAGAATGAGGCTCCAATGGGTGTTCAATAAGGGGTTGGCAATTGAAAGCATTGATGAATGCATAAATATATTTCTAAGTAACTCCATTACCCAAACTTCCCTCTATATTTCACTGGTGATAATTTAAATTAAAACATATTCTCAGTACAGAATAGGGGATATTTTCTTAGCCATCAGTTTTAAATGTATCCCTCAGAGCACTGACAACTACATACTAGAATTGATTGTAGGATACTTGTTAATTAACCTAATTAATACAACTTATTAATTAAATACCAAATATAATTTCCCAAACAATTTTTATGTTGTATTTATTAATATACTTTAGACTCTTTTCCTGAGAATATAATCAAATAATCATGTTTCCTCACTTTCTTATGACTATCTAGATGAGTGTCTGAAATGTGTGAGTTTTGCTAAGGTTTTCA